CCCCAAAACCCCAAAACCCCAAAACCCCAAAACCCCAAAACCCCGGATGAGGTCATACAAGTTGAAATTTTAATAATCTTGATAAATTTTCAAATCAAGGCAGAACCTATCAATATTCTAATTGGATAAGACCAGAACAGGTTTGGTTAAAAAAGAGTAAACATTGCTAAATTGTTAATATTAGAAGAATTAAGCTAATTTAGGTCCAGTGATCCTTCCGCTCTTCTTAATAGACTCATTCTTGATCATCTGATCAAACTCTCTCTTGGTCATCCTAATCACTAAGAAGAGGACTATTGCTGTGAGAATAACTCCAAAACCCATGAAAGTTATTTGAGTGAGGAAGGTCTTGCTGTCTGGATCCATTTTGGAGAGATTAGATAAGAAAATCCCTATGTAGGTGCTGATCACAAAATCAATCAAGAATCCATGATTACCAATAAAGTAGTCCCACAGAGGAATGTCAGTTGTTGACATTATGTAATTTACAATATCATAGGGGATCAATAATCACATCCTAAGTAGGAATGTGATTTTTGCTCCTTTGGTGACCACAAGTTTGTTAAAGATGTCAAAATACTCCATTCTTTTGGCAAGTAGATCTCCAATTCTAATAAAATATCTTCCAATGAAATAGGTAACGAAGATGCCGATATGCTCTATGATTATTACCAGTATTAAATGCACGAAGATCCCTTCCACGTTTCCATACATTTTCATGAAGGTGATAGTAGTGCAAGTAATGAATGTTCCAGGCGGGATAAACACTTGCATTCCGATAATAAAAGCAATGCTATAAATAAAGATTCCCTTCGTCTTGTTCTTCAGCATATAGCTATTGACCATGCCCATATAACGATGAAATTCCATGTAGATCCAGCTGCCAAGAAAATATATGGTTATTGATGCGCAAATAACAGCGAGGAGCATCTTGAGTATGAACTGTTTAGACCATTTCTTCTGTCTTTCACTGAACTTAATGTCACTAATATCCTTTTCAAGAGTCAAGGAGTACTCATCAAAGTCCTCTGTATCCTCAAGATCATGGAACTGCTGTATTGGCCTTTTTGCCATATTTATTAATATAAATAGAAATTTTACCTTTTGGGGTTTTGGGGTTTTGGGGTTTTGGGGTTTTGGGG